AACTCAAATAAGTTTGGTTTTTCTTTATTTAAATCGTTGTTCTGGGGTGGGGCTAGGGATGAGAGATTCTGTATGCAGGAGAAAGGACTACCCACCCCCACCCTCTCTTACTGCAACAGCTTGGAGCCAGGTGAGAAACACCTGTCTATGGCCGCTGCAGTGAGCACATCCCGGGGAGGCGTGAATGTCCCTAAGCTGGGGGACAGACAGACAGACACACACACACACACACAGACAAATTCTCTGAAATAAATAGTAGATATGTCTCTTTTTCCATCGCTGCCCCCAGCTGCCCCGGTCCCCATCTCTGGCCCCTTGCTTCCTCTCTGTGGTCAAACCACAGTATAATTGTCCCTCCTGCCAGACCCCTCTCTGCCCATTTTATGAGAAACAATCAAATTCCAGATGCATCCCATTGTCCTGTCAGTACCAACTCCTAAACTTGCTTGAAACTATGATAAGAGGAAGCTGTATACCAAATTTGGTGGTCCTAGCTCTTACCGTTTAAGAGGAATTCTTGAACAAACAGACTAACAGATGGATGGACAGACAGATGCACAATTCTATAATATATACTGTGGTAAGATAATCCGTGGGCTTTATTCAAGAAAGACAATATATTGGACCAAATTTTTCTCTCACAATAGTTAGATCTACACTGTGGAGTTTTGAATGCTAACTGATATAACTTTTCTACCTACTTAACATTTAAGAATTTCACAAATATACCTACCTAGCTGCAATGCCTTGCAAAAAACAAACAAACAAACAAACAAACAAAAAACCCTGAGGGTATAAATTGTGACAGGTCATTTTGGAGATCTCAGGTAGAAAAATCGGGTATAAATTGTGACAGATCATTTTGGAGATCTCAGGTAGAAAAATCCCACGATTAGTCTCTTTTTCCAATAACAGAGTAGGTCTGGACAAAAATATTCCTTGACATTCTGGTATATTGTATACTTACTTCAGCATTGACAATCATGGAAGAGAAAAGAGGATAGCTGTGGCAGTTTTTATAGTCCTCAGTCTGATCATATCAACTTCCATTGCATTTCTACATTTCACACTGCATGTCCATTTCCTATTGGAAGAAGATAATCTCCATGTTGCTAATGTATATTTAATCAATTTTTTTCTTGGGGGGAGGAGGGAAAAACCTATATATAATATAATCAGCTTAATATGCATTACATTAATAAAGACTCTTCAATCTGGTGTCTTACTTAATCATCTTTTAGAGAAAGCAGTAATTAACAGCTGCTAATAACCAGATTGGCATTATGTCCCCAGGGGAAATTGCAGATGGCATGTTTTCTCTCTTTCACATCTGTGAAGCGCAGTTATTATATTTGTCTTGCGTTAGGAGCAGTGCATATAAAATGTTCATTGTTGTCGCTCTTATTTAAGTGAGTTGATTCCAGTGAGAACAAGCATAAGCCAAACTGAAAGCTTTTGAAACTCACATCACTGGTGCATAGCCCAAAACCCTACACAGCAACTTCTCACTGAAAGCTGGCCTAATTAATGTTACATCGCTGTTCTATTAGAGAACATGCCCTTCGTGTAATATTGTGCAATATTCAGTTAGCAGGCCCTCTTTCCCCTCAGTGTCTCTCCCCTGCCAGCAGACCCTGCAGATGAACACCCATCACCAGGGGCAGATGACTGTTTTGCGGGGCCCCAGGCAGCATAACTCCGCAGGGCCCCCCTTTGCCACGGCGCATGCGCGGGGCTTTTTTAAGCGCGGGGCCCGGGGCGGCCGCCCTGTTCGCCCTGCCCTATATCCACCCCTGCCCATCACAATCAGCTGTTTCATGGCATGTAGGAGGCTAGGAAAGAGAGGGAAGGAGTGAGGATTCAGCATAATTGAGGGAGGAGGTGGAGCTGGCTGGGAAGAGGCTGGGTGGGAGGAGAGGGAGGCAGGAAGTAATGAGGGGGGGCCTTGGAGGAAAGGGTGGGGTGGAAACATGGCCTGGGACAGAATCAGGGGTCAAGCACCCTTGGCAGTTTGAAAAGTCAGTGCCTGTAGCTCCAAAAGCTTATGACTGTCTCTAGCAGTGCAGGCATCTATAGGCCCAGTGCCTCTGCATTGTGTCCCACAAGCATACATGCAACCTGGCAGATTGGCTCCCTTAGGAGACAACTGGTCTCCCCAGCACCTGGGGGCTGCAGGACATTCAACAACTAACTGGAGCAGGCATTTGTGTTCTGATGCTCTGAGGCCAGCAGACACTTCCCCATTGGGTTCAGTGGAAGGATACAACAGTGTTTCTTCCTATGTGCTGCCGCTTGTCTGCTCTGCCTGGCTCCCATGTCAAGCCCAACCCCACAGAGCTTGCACAGGGAGGACCCCTGCAGACCTAAGAGTGGGGACATTATGGGCTTAAACTCTCACCACAGCTCTGGGGGCCAGATGATAATCACTCACCTAGTTGCAGCTATGAGTCAAACCACACCACACTGACATCTCTTCTCAAAGGGGAATGATGGGTCAGAAAGTGTGGGCAAGGGAGCTGGGCTCTGAAAGACGAACTGAGGCCAGGTCTCTGTGTCTCAGGACGGTATCAAGGATCTCAGTGGGAGTCCTGCACACGTAGAGAAAGCAGAACACAAACTCCCAGTTACAATGCCCTCCAGTCCCCAGTCCTGCCCACCAGTGGGCCCCACATATCAGCACCTCCCCACTCTCTTTCCACACTACCTGCCTGTCACAACCAGCTGTTCTGAGCTGTTCAGAAGGCTGGGAGGAGGAGTCAGGAGATGACACTTGGGGGAGGACACTTGGTCCTAGGGCAGAGCCAGGGGTTGAGCACCCTCCCACACACACATTCTGGAAAGTGGGTGCCAATGCAGCCGTGCATGTGCATTCCAGTGGGATAGCATGGACTCAAGACTGTCCTTAAGGGGACATGGGACATCCCCCATTTTGTCCCAGGCCCCACCCACCCCATCTTTTCCCTGCCTCTGCTCGCCCCAGCTGCATCCCTGCCCCACTTCTTCCCACACCTGCTCTGCCTCCTCCAACCTGCATTGCACCTCTTTCTCAGCCCCCTACCCAGAGAGATGTGACTCAGGGGATTATCAGGGGGCTTTGTGTAGGGCAGCTGCAGAGGTCGGGCCCCTCCGCACTCACTGCAGTGGCAGGAGCTACAGGAAGTGGGGCAACTCAGCAGTTTGCTCTGCTCTGTCGCCGTCAGCCAGCTGGGTAGCTCTGCTTGTGGGGAGCAGAATGCATTGACACTGGGGCTGCAGTGAAGCTGAGCAACTCGGCTGGAACATGGCAACAGAGCAGAGCAGGCTGCTTCGTTGCTATTCTTCCCATAACTCCCACTACCTCAGTGAGGACAAGGGGGGAGGAGAAAAGGAGTAACCTCTGCTGCCACCTCATGCCAGGCCTCCCAGATAACCCCCCAAGCTGCCCTGCACCCTGCAGGCTAATATCAATATGGTGGACCTTCTTGTTCATAAAATGGCTAGAATGGTTGGGGCGGCCACTGAAGTCTCCCCAAATTGTGGGACCTAGGCTGGCAGCCCCAAACCATCCTATGGACAGGATGGCTCTGCATGGGTTCATTATTACATTTAGTTTCCTCAGGAAAATGTTTGCAGCACTTTACCATGGTTCCTTTAGAAGGCCACTGGTCTCCCCAGCACCAGGGAGTTGAGGGACATTCTGTGACTAACTGGAGCATGCACTTGTGTGATCTGCTGCTCTGAGGAAAGATACAACACATGTTAATCCTTTAGGGCTCAGACAAGTGCTAGTTCCTCAATTAGCAGCAAGGCATTCCCTGGGAAATATCCCACCTGATATCAACACAGTAGTTTTAGCTTAGGTTTAGGAGAATCTGAGGGAACTCATAAGCAGTTTTCTGCATAAATCTCTGACCAGTGACTGCAGGGAGATTTAAAGAAAGGGGAGCTGCTGCTAATGTGCATGAGCAAGAAATATTGTTCCAGTGGCTCTGTGCAGATATAAAAAATTTTTGCTTTCTCCAGTTCCTGAAGGTTGGGAAGGCTTTAGATCCAGGTAAGCAATATGAGCTTATTTTCCATTGTTGTTGCAGTATTAAAACACTTTCAAAATTTGTTGAGTGAAAACACAACTGACCTGCAGAGGGCATTTTGCTTCAAGATTTTACTAGGTAGTTTATGAATCAGCAAAAAAAAAAAAAAAAAAAAAGCATTGGCTTGTATGACGTGCCAAAGAATGTGGTGTTGGCTTGAACTACTGTACAATCCAATCAGCTGCCTTCAGATCATTAATCGTAATTTCAGTTTGGGATTTATCTATTGTGTTCCAAAATTACACAGCAACATTCTGACAGAACAGTCAGTTAGCCCAGTGCACAAGCTGCATGCAAACTTGTACAACTGTGTGTGTCACAGGCACAAAGATTCAAAGAGATGGTGCTATATATTATGGGCCAAATTCAGCCCTGATGCAGTCAGAAACTCTTTTCATAGGCTTCAACAGGGCATGTGTCTTATGTCATCAGAGAAGAACTAGATTCATTATTACTTTTCAATAATAATTTGGCCTTTAAAAGAAGCTAAGAAATACCATTTTAAATTAAAATGGTTAATCCCGCTGCAGATATTTCTCTAAAACAACTAAAGGAAAAAGGTGGCAACTCAGTTGGTGTTCATGATTAGATCTAGACTAGATAAAGTAAAATATAAGGAAATCCAACATTATCATCAAGATCAACTGGATGATGTACTGGACTGTTTCAGTATCTAATTTCTGGGATACTGTGAATATCTGGAATTAATAGTTTTTGCATAGTAAAGCTATCCAGATGTGGTATGAAGATACACAAATACCTATGGAATTCCCTGGTCAAAGCAAGATAAAAGCTCTTCTGAGTATAGGGCCAGATTACTGCATACCAATTATAGAACTATACCTCAGGCACCCGAGATCATATGATTAATGTAAAACTCAATTTATGTATTTTTAATAAGCATTTTTAATACAAAAAAGATATTGCAATGTTCGCTTGAGTCTGCAGAAACCTAGAAACAGTAGCTCAGAGAGGGATATGTTCTCTCCAGTACACAAAGCTCTCTTGAGCCCCACCAAACTGTGTTAGAAGAAGATTAAGTGTGTGGCAGAAGGAGGATGCAGCAGGTACTCACATACAGATTTTCTCTAGCTGCT